TAAACGTAAAAGTTGAAGAAGATCTCGACCACACCCCAAGCCGTGTAGTTCAAGAAGTATACTTAATTGACGAGACTCTTTTTAGATATATGATCAACAAAATTAGCTCATCTCCAATTTTTACCAAGAAAGGCAGCTAAGCTGGTTTTGAGATCTCTCATTAGCCTATTATCTTTGAATTCTTGATGCTTTATGCTAATTAAAGAAGGAGTCATTTGTGCATAAACATCTTGTAATGTCTATTTAGCTATTAGTAATGTGCAAGTGAAAGCAATGCATAACAAATCCGTAATTTGCACATAGTTTGCACGTAGTTTGCACGAAATTGGTGAGTGGTTTTCATAATGTATTTGCATGATATCATAGACTACTATGTCTATTTTAGACTTTCTATTTTAAAGTGAAGGATCCGGAACCAAGTTGTTGCGCAGTGATTGATTTTGTCCATATCCAGCAAATAACCGAGAGGTAAGCGATTCTTTAGAAGAGATATCCCGGCCCGAGAAAATAAGCAAAGCTCAATATGAAAACCACCAGGAAAAATTGGAGCCTCGTAGATCCTCCCTTGGGCCTCTTTTCCTTTTCATGCAAAGCCCTGAATGCAAGATAAAAAGTTGGGAATGTGAAAGAATTAAGGTGAGGCTCAGAGGAAGGAAACAAGAAGATGACGATTTTTGTCTCGTGTTAGCTAAAAGAAAGGGAACAAGTACCTAAAGAGAGAGACCTGTACTAGTTTGATGGCCACCGCATGTAGGGAGAGTCCACCAGGGATTGTTTGAACAAACCAACCCAGCCATAGCCAAGCATCTGAAATTTAATTAAGCAAGAAGAGAATCAAATATAGGAGAATGAGCAAATCGCATCTTCAAGGAAAGATGGAAATTACAGATTGTCCATGTTTTTATACAGCATGAAGGCTGCAATGGTATGGATGCTCCTGTTATAGAGAGCCTTGACAATTGTGAATATGTGCACTACATAGACTCCACTCGACCCGAAGTTGGCAAAGATGGCGATCAGGACATGTTCTTTCATATTGAAAGGTCATGGATTTAGCGAGAACGTCCATCCCGTGAGCGGGACCTGTCAAAGGGAGTGTTGCAGCCATCAGTTGTCCCGGGAGAAGTGTAACAATCTCTGCTGAAACCACTAAAATGCCGAGTGGGGTAGATCGGTAGCCGAAGAATCGGTTCGTGAAGGAGAGGACCACACACGAGGTGATGCCAAGAACCCATGTCCTGAATGTCAGGGCGGGTAGCGAAGGGTCATCTGTGGGCAGAATCATGAGGCGCACCTGTTCGATGGGGTAATCATCATCTATTCCGTCTTCTCCTGCGTGGTAAGTCAATGTCATTCGGTCACAAAACCAGAACAAAAATCAGGGTGAGCCTAGGAAAATATTGTCCGTTTCGCTTCTCTGTTACCAAAGCATCATCGATGTCGTTTGTCGATCATGTTAGTGCTTCAAAGTCATAATCTCGACACTAACTGCACGATTCGAATACAGCCCACAGGGAAGAAGAGCTTCAACAAAAAAATGCAAATGCTTTCGGTGGTGATGGGTGAGAAGCTTACCGGACAGTTTTTCAGCAGACTTTGCACCTTCAACCTCGAAACATGCCATCCTCTCTAGTTCAGTTTCGAACAGGAAGCCTTTGTGACCCAACAATCACTTGATATACTTACTCTTCTCAAGTGGTCAATTGGTTTTGCAGGGAGAATCTTGCCTCTGTGGGTGATTCCCACTGACCTATCCATATGCACAAGCGAATCGGAGAATATCATTCTATTTCTAGCATTTCATGTGGATGGATGGAGATATTGACTAAGTATGTATTTAATTAACGTGTGAAAGTTGGGTAAGTGATTCACAGCTAGTCCATACTCCATTGTCCATAGTTGGTAGATGTGATCGGGGATGTTGGGACATTTTTGCTTTATGGAGAGAGTTCCCAAAGTTCAGAGAATTAACTCCACCAATGCAATTTCTTTAATTAAACTTACCATTATATTATAAGTAAAATATATCCTTACTAATGCATTCACGTCAACCGAATCACCATTAAATTGCAATGTCTGAGTTGCTGATATTTTTCTTATGCTAGCTTCCTGAAATAGAAATGCCATAAAGAAATGGTCATAAGATCAATAGCCCATTAAATTTCAAAGCCGGTGGGTTGATTTCCTTGAATATTGGAAAGTAAAACAAAAGAAAGAAAGAAAATTCCAGCCTATTGCAACCACTATCTCCATAAAAAGTAAAAATTCCAAAATACTGGATTACGTTGAACCAATCTTTGAAAATGGCCTCTAGCTGGGATGTGAATCACCCATTTAAAGGTAGTTCTACCCAAAAAGAAAAATTCGTTTAATGATAGTTTCCAGTTTTTCGATGTCGTATTTTTCTCTCATGTGTTGTGAACGCTTGGAGAGAACTAAAAAAGTTATAAACATATTGCATTGATATCAATTCAGTTCTAAACTTTTCAATTGGACCAATTTAGTCCCGAACCTTTTTTCATATTTGTACAAATTCGGTCTATCCGGCCAATTTAGCCGATAATAGCTAGAGTGAACGCCGGCCATCCTACGTGCCATAAGTGCCGCTAATATGGACATTTTTTATAATTTTTTTTATAATTTTTGAATTATTTTTTTTTATATTTCTCCTTTCCCTTTTCTTTTTGCCGGTGGCCAGTCGCATAAAGCACTTTTTAAAACAAAATCCATCTAATAAAAGTCATCAAATGGTATGCAATAAAATCCACCAATAAACAACCCTAGAAAGTAGAAATGGAGAAACAACTTCTATCCAATAATCGACTTTTCTCCCTCAAAATTATAATTACGGATCGTCGTGGGCTCTTTTTAGTGTTTCATTTTTATTTCATGCATTAAGTAGAAAGTTGACTTTGGTCCTAGGAGATGCCGAAACGAAAAGATTCTTTAGTTACATGGTAACCCACTCGACATTTCGTCAATTACAGCACAGATTTACACTTCCCCTAGGACGACTGATGGCGGCGCCGCTCACGTCGAGCTCGACCCAGGTCCGGCTTGTGGGATAGACAGAGTATTTGTCTATTCCAATGTTTCATGTAAATGCATAAAGAGTTTGACTAAGTGGCAAAAGGGCATCGGGCATGAATTTTCATAAATATTTCATTCACAAGAGGCTGGAATTTTGGGAATACATTAAAGGTTAGTGGGATCTAATTCTAATTTTGGGAATTTTTTCTTTTATGCATAAGTGGTTCGAACAGGTTGGAATTTTCGCTTCTTCTTTTTGTTTTGTTTTACTTTTCCAAATCTAGGAAATTTACTCAGCTATTATATTTTCTTGATAAAAGCCACTAAGAGCCCTAAATTATATAACTTTTTTCTATTACACAAAAAGTCCCAAATTTGTACTTGTGTGACATATTTACCCTCTGTCAAAGTTCTATCAATGAAAACTGTTAAAAAATGCCTACATAGGCACCAAAAAGCAATCAATATTGACATAGCGCCCACATAGCTTAAGTTAAATAAAAATGATATTATTTTGGCTGAAAAATAGTCTAACTGAACCTTGATGGAGGGCACAAGTGTCACATAAGTACAAGTTTGAGCAAGAAAAAGTTTACGATAAATATGTTACAGTAGGTATAGTTTGGGGTGTCACAAATAAAAAATTTAAGATAAAGATGTCATAGTGGGTATAATTTGGAGTATTTTTGTGGCTTTTTCCTTATTTTATTTGGTGAAATTGATCATTTAGTGCATAAGTAAAATCCATGGTTACTAATGTGTTTATGTCAACCGAATCACTTTATTATCTCTTGCACCATTTATTAGATAAGTCATTTAAAGATAGTTTACAGTTTTTCAATACCCTGTTTTTTTTCATGTGATGTAAACACTTTATAAATCGACACGTTTACTTGTTAAGTATACTTAATTGACAAGACCCTTATTAGACATATGATTGGCAAAATTAGCTCATCTATAATTTTTACCAAGAAAGACAGCTAAGCTGGTTTTGAGATCCCTCTTTAGCCTAATATCTTTGAATTCTTGATATTTTTTAAGTTATTAGTAATGTGCAAGTGAAAGCCATGTGTAACAAATCCGTACTTTGCGCGTAATTTGCATGCAATTGGTTAGTGGTTTTCATCATAGACAATTATGTCTATTTTAGGTTTTCTATTTTAAAGTGAAGCAACATAATTATTTAAAATAGATTAACAATCACGCGTCATTTGAAAAAGTTAATTTACCTCTCACATGTACGCTCTACAAATTGTATATGACGATTCCATTCGCATAAGCTCGTGTAATTTATGTGCGCGCCATGGTCGGTCTTCTATAAACATATAATGTATACGATCTATGTTTTTATATTTAAATGCGGAATGATTCCAATCATGATATGAGGGAGGGCTATTAGGTAATAGGTATGGCCAGAGATTTTTTTTTTTTTTTGGTAACCCAGGGAACCCCCGCACGGCCGACAGCCGGGGATTTGAAGTTGACATAACTCAAAATTTGCATGAAACGATCGAAAGTATAAGCGAAATGTCAGTAACAATCAGGACATTTGAGACACTCACCAAGACCATGCCGTTTCGAGCAGCGAGCACGAGAATGTTCGGACAAGAAAAGAAGCTTTGATCGTTGGACTTAATGGTGTTGATGACTTCGAATCTCTTAATCCCTTAAGAGAGTTTTGATTCTAGCCAAGTGGTTTTTTTTTCTTGTGAAAGTGGCCGTGTTGTTCAAAAGAAACGATGCATCATATCCCTGCACAAATAAAGGAGATAATTACAAAAAAAGTCTTAAATCTTTGGGAAAATTTCAAATAATGACTCGAAGTGGAGCCGTTTTCTCAAAAGAGTGCATGAAGTGAACATTGTCTCAAATAACGCCTCAAATAGCCAATTGAGTCTTAAATAAGGGCCTAATCTCACCGACTAGGCAAATCTTGTCCACATCCAGGGACATTCTCGTCCAAATACATGTTTTTCTTTCTTCTTTCTCTTGTTTTCTTTTCTTTCTTTTTCTTTCTTCATCTTCCTCACCCGTCCTTCGCTCTGATTGTGATGATCATAAACACAATGATTGAGAAAACTAAACCAAATGCAAACTGAAAAATGAATTCTCTCTCCCTAATGTCTTTCTCTTTTCCCAAATCGAATTGCAAAAGAAAGTGGAAGCAATCTAATCAAGTCCAGAGAATCCACTCCACGCAGTGCCCACCACAAAGCGATCCAACAAATTTTGCGCGACTGAATCAATGAAAGAATCACTGGGACGCATCAGCCACGCTGCTCGATCACGTTGCCACGCCAAATAGTCCAACAAAAGACAAATTTTAAGTGAGCAAGAAAATAATGAACGAGAAATTGTCAATTTCAGATTGGGCTCGCATTACTTGCTTCCGCTTGAGGTCGCTGTGGAAGATCTTCACCCTCAAGCCATTGCCGTTGTCGGTGGAGAAGCGGAGGCGAGCACCCTGCCTGAAGAGTGATTCGACCAGGTGCGACTTGTGCGACCAGCGCTGAAGCCTAGGGTGACGCACGCTGAAGCCTCAGCCGAAGGAAGAGAAAGAGCTCGCACACTTGTACGGCCACCGACAATTAATCTAGGTGATAAGGAAGCCATGGAAGAGTTCATTGACAAGGGGTATGATCATCACAACGAGAGCGAAGGACGGGTGAGGAAGATGAAAGAAAAGAAAGAAAAGAAAACAAGAGAAAGAAGAAAGAAAAACATGTATTTGGACGAGAATGTCCCTGGATGTGGACAAGATTTGCCTAGTTTGTGAGATTAGGCCCTTATTTGAGACTCAATTAGCCACTTGAGACCTTTATTTGAGACAATGTTCACTTCATGCATTATTTTGAGAAAACGGCTCCATTTCGGGCCCTTATTTGAAATTTTCCCTAAATCTTTTAACAATTTGCTTATATAGCCATCCTAGATAATTTTACCCAGAAATCGCTGATGTAGACGCCCGCCATCCTACATGACACAACCAACGATAATGTTAACAACTTTTGCAATTTTTAAAAAAAAATTTCCCTTTTTTTCTTTCTTTTCCATTTTTTTCTTTTCTTTTTTTATTTAACTGTGGGCCGGTGACCATCACCGGCCACAGCAAAGGTGCATGGACCCTCACCCAGATTCAACAATGCCCTCAATAGATCTAGGTAGGCGACGGCACTCGACCCTTGCCTGTGGTAGGCGACCTCCGGCGCCGAGCACTACGGTGGAAAATAAGAAAGAAAGAAAAAAATCAGAAATAATAATTCAAAAGATTGCATTAATTGTCCATGTTACCGTCTTCCATGCCACGTAAGACCGTTGCATTCAGGTCGGTGGTTTTTCGGCCAAACTTGATCGAAATGATTACATTGGTAAATCGTCAAAGGTTTAGAATTAAATTGGATAAATTAAAAAGTTTAGAACTAAATTGACTATTTGTACAATAGGTTTATAATTCTTGTTAGTAATTTTTCCCAGACGAAGAAGGCGGAGATACATAATAAGATTGTATCGAAAGCAAAGGTCACAACATGCACTATATGGCTTGATTAAAATTTCCTTCCCTTTTCCATCTTCGATTAGTGATGGATTGAGCACACGTAGAAGAAGCAAGTCTACTCTCACATCTGACAGCGATAATATAGTTATTATATAGTATTATATTATAGTAATAACCATTCACATTTACGGAAAATGTCTTTTATCTGAAGCATCTTTTCTAGCGCTCAGAAACATGTTTAGCTTTTCTTTGTTTACAAGGTTTATGATAGAATTAACAAATCGTCAAATGGTTTATAACTAAATTGGCACAAAAAGTTTATAACTGAATTGGCACAAGTGCAATTGGCTTAAGATCAAATTGGCCAAATTGAAATATTAATAACCGAATTGACACAAGTACAATAGGTTTATAACTTTTTTGCTAATACTTTTGTAATTCTTGTAATAGCACTATTGAGTTTTTTGTTCACACAATTAAGTTCTTCTTGTACATTCATTTGTGATTTTTCAATTCTTTGCGTCTTGCTTTCAGACTTATAACTTTGGGATTCCATATTAATTATGACTTGAATCGGATCAATTCTTTTACGAATTTCTATGTGTACAATTTTTTGGTATATAATTTTTTATACAATTTTCACTTTTTTTTATTTTCTTGTAGATCCTCAAATGATTTTTGGGTTGTGCAAACCAAATAGAACGATGAACATGGGTTGTACCAACTACCAAGCCTCAAACCAAGTGGATTTATGAAGTAATATCGATCTATCATGCACATGTTTGCTAAAGAGAGGAAAAGCAACATCAATTGAAAGAGAGTCAAATCGGTGTTAGCACAGGTTCTTAAACAAGAAGACGATTGAAGCCAGTTTCTGAAGTGCGTTGAGGTCGGAGGTAGTTACTTTTCCGATCGCAAGATGATGGCCGCTGCCTCGGCAGCCGCCTTTGCTGTCACCAATCCATGGCGACGAGTGCCGCGGCGAGGGTGACCATTGTTGAGATCTGTTTCGAGGACGACCGTCGACCAGATCTTCTCTCAGTCTCCCTGACCTCTCTATGCTGTGCGTTGCAGCAGCAAGAGTCGGCTTCACTTGAGCCCGGCGAGGGCCGGTGCTTGCGTTGTCGCCGCCGCTGCAAACACTGCCGATGGTTACTCCCTGGACCTACCCATAAATTTTACTCATTTCTTTGTTCATTTTTTTTTCAAATTTTCTTGTTTTCGAATTTTAAATTATTTATCTTGTTTTATAATTTTTAAAGAATTTCACGCTGGCATTTAATGACTGTTTAATGGCCATGTTGACAATTTACTTATTATTTTAATGGATGGACTAATGCGAAGAAAACAAGGGCGCGCATAGTAACATTTCTGTTCCAGAAATAGATTTTTCTATTTCTATTCCATGGACGAGTTTCTGAGAAAAAAACGTTTGATAACAATGCAAAATTTCTCCCTTCCGGGCGGCCGGTGGAGGACGGTGGGTGGCGGCAGGGGGCGGAGGACGGTGGCCGGCGGCGACGGATGACGGCAGCTGGCGGCGGGAGGAGATCAGCGCCAGGCGGCGGCCAGCGTTAGGTGGTGGAGCACGGTGGCCGGCGGCAGATAGTGGCGGCGGCTGCCGGGGGCAAAGGGCGGCCGGCATCGGGCGGTGGAGCACGGCAGCTGGCGGCGGAGGACGACTGTCGGTGGTGCGTGGCCGTCGACCCCTCGGGGGGCAACAGGCGGCGGAGGGCGATAGAGCACAGCGGCCGGTGTCGGGTGGCAGAAGACGGTGGTCGGCGACAAGAGGCATCCGGCGGGCGGCAGGCAGCCGGCGGATGGTGACCGGCGGGCGGCGGTGGGAGCTGGTCGGCAGGTGGCGGCGAAGGACGGCGGGAGGTGGGGAGGCCGATTGCGGCCGACGTTGGGCGATGGCGAACGACAGAGGATGGCGGTGGGAGGAGGCGGTTGGCGAAGGACGCCGACGGTAGGCGGTCGACGGCGGGAGGCGGCTGGCGGCAATACCGAGTGGCAAGGGGATGGCTGACTAGTAGCGAGAGCGAGCGATAAGAAGAGTTTTTGTTTCTCATTTTTGTTCTAGAAATAGAAAAGTATTCAAGGACTAGCGAGCCACCGACCAAAAAAAAAGGGACTAGTAAGCCTTTATCTCTTTAAACAATTATGATTGCTTTTGACAAAAAAAAATAATGACAATTGCTTAAAAGAAAATAACGAAAGAGAAAAGTCCTAGATAATTCAATTTTGGTGAGATATGACATATAATATATTTAGTAAATGCAAGGTGTATTTATATATGAGAAAAACAAACTCACAATACATAATTATCTGACCGATGATGAGTATTTTTTTTCTGTAGTATTTTCCATTTATTATAATTCGAGAAATATTATATTTTCACGTAAGTCGAATGCGGAAGAACAGAAAACAATTTAAACTTGTTCTTGCAAAGACTTTTGGGGTTGGATCTAAACAGAACATCAGACATTGTTTTGCAAAATGGAAGAGCTTCGAGTTCATGTACAAACCAGTTCCTGGGACCCCTTATCAAGCAACTATCTGCCAACTAGAGCTGTTATGTACTCTCAAATATGTTCAGCTTTATTGAAAACTAGAGCTGTTATATACTCTCAAATATGTTCAGCTTTATTGAAAGTTATAAATTCCAACACATTGTCCGAGGCGGCGCCGATACTAAGTTTTAGCCATATGCATACAATGATTCAACGCAAACTCCTAACCAATAACTGGACAACCCTCAACCTTGACACCTGGGGCTGTAGGACAACCAGCCAATGTGCACTGATCATCATCCGCAAGTCCCCACCATTGTGGACCGAGGACTTGTATTGATTGAAAGGCGAAATAGAGGATCACTGCCATGAAGGCGACTCCGGCATCCAGAGCGGCCGATAAGACATAGTTGTACCGGGACCACCAACCCTTGAACCTCTTGTAAACGTAAAAGTTGAAGAAGATCCCGACCACACCCCAAGTCGTGTAGTTCAAGACCCTGCCTGGCGGCATGCCCTGTGTGCTTCCTATGATGATTGGCATGTTAATGTGCTGAATCCACTTTTTGTCGGGGAATCTCCGCAACAGGTACCAGACCGGCACAGGGACAAGCAATCCAATGAGGAAGAACCAGTTCATCTGGGAATAGACCCCTAACTTTCCAAACATCCTGAGCGGGCCGACGACTCCCCAGATGATTGAGGCGCTGTAGAAGACATGGTCGCCTGGGCATGTCCATGGGCTTCCATCGGGTAGCTGGGACGGGTCGCATATGTGGTCAATGCTGGTGACTAACCACCACGCGGTGCCGAAATAGACGCTCGAAGCGAGGATCGTCCCAATCAACTGTGGAATTGGGAAGTTCACAATGTTATGAGTAGGCCCAAAGTGAGAAAAGAAAGGAGTATGAAAGGCCTCAATTCTCTGTGATGTAATTAACCTGAACGAGGAACATCGACTTCGGAGGGATCTTCATGTAGTGACCTAATTTGAAGTCTCCCAGAAATGCAAGTGCTTGGACCATGCTGATGTAGCCGTACGTCTTGAAGGCTACGTTGGCGAGAGGCTTCCCTGGATACATAAATCCTATGACCAACTCCGTGATCACATTTAGCCCTGGCGACTGCAACAACATATCTTGTGTATCAGAAATGTTTTTCTTTGGTATCTAACTGTTAATTTAACTCGCATTCTTATGTTGCTAGATAAGAGAATTACAATGTTTGTCGTGGCTGTGATGATCCCAATTGGTAATGTGAACAACAGCGCAATCCCACACGCTAGAAGGAGTCCCCACCAAGGCAGTTGGAGCTTTTTGCCGAAACCTTCACAAACCCACAGAGCAAGTCCAAACACTATGATCAAGATAGTGTGAAACCACCACTGAGGTACTGCTTCATAGTTCTGCTTCATTAGCCTTGTGTGCACGTCTCTGAGGTGACCGCCTCCCGCCGTTTTCTTCCACATTTGCCAGATTGTTCTAGACCAAATCATTTATGGAAAACCAAATCTTTTCACTGAGTTGAGTAACTGACAATAAAAATTCTTTGTACTAAATCCACATTACATGTGCAAGTAACGATACATTGAACAAGACAAAGGAGAAAACATATAAAAATGAAGAAACATACTTTCCATGGAAAAGGGCGACATGCGAAAGGGTAGAGGCCAAAGCTGCAAAACTCAGCCCATAAACGATGGCAAAGAAGACGCTGAGGTAAAGTTTGCTATAACCATTGTAGGCCTCCATATCTATGTCAAAAGTCTCGGCATTGAGAATCCGACTAATGTTGTAAGTTTGGCCAGACGAGTCAAAAGTGTTGGAAGATATTATGGGGAACCGTTTGGCGTCGTACACATTGGACCAATAAAGGATGGGGAGAGCGACGTAGACTATCAAGGAGAATCCGGCAAGGATGTTGAGAATGGAAGAGCCCGGGTAGGCCAGAGGGCTTCCCAAGAATGAGGTGGATGTGGACCAGTCAAGGGTGAACGCGCCTAGCCCGAGGCCGTAGTATCCGGAACCGAGTTGTTGCGCAGTGATTGATTTCGTCCATATCCAGCAAACAACCGAAAGGTAAGCGATTCTTTGGAAAAGATATCCTGGCACCAGATAATAAGCAAAGCTTGATATGAAAACCACTATGAAAAATTGGAGCCTCGTAAATCCTCCCTTGGACCTCTTTTCCTGTTCATGCAAAGCCCTGAATGCGAGATAAAAAGTTGGTAATGTGAAAGAATAAAGTTAAGGTTCTAAGGAAGGAAACAAGAAGATGAAGATTTTTGTCTCGTGTGAGCTAAAAGAAAGGGAACAAGTACCTAAAGAGAGAGACCTGTACAAGGTTTGATGGCCACCACATGTAGGGAGAGTCCACCAGGTATTGTCTGAACAAACCAGCCCAACCATAGCCAAGCATCTTAAATATATTCGGTAAGAAGAGAATCAAATTTAGGGGAATGAGCAAATCGCATCTTCAAGGAAAGATGGTAATCATATGACACGAAAGAAATTAGTTACAAATTATCTGTGTTTTTATATATATTGATCTACCTGAGTAGTCTGTGACAGCATGAAGGCTGCAATGATATTGATGCTCCTGTGATAGAAAGCCTTAACAATGGTGACAATGTGCACGGCATAGACTCCACTCGACCCGGAGTTGGCAAAGATGGTGATTAGAACATGTTCTTTCAAATTGAAAGGTCCTGGATTTAGCGAGAACGTCCAATCTGTGAACGGGACCTGGATTGGCCTCGAAGGTAGCGTCGCGGCCATCAGTCGTCCCAAGGGAAGTGTAACAATCTGTGCTGAAACCGCCGAAATGCTGAGTTGGTTAGTCCGATAACCAAAGAATTGGTTCGTGAAGGAGAGGATCACGCACGAGGCCACGCCGAGAACCCATGTCCTGAATGTCAGGGCAGGTAGCGAAGGGTCATTCGTGGGCAAGACCGTGAGGCGCACCTGTTCGATGGGGCAATCATCATCTATTCCGTCTCCTCCTGCGTGGTAAGTTAGTGTCATTCGGTCACAAAACCAAAACAAAAACCAGGGTGAGCCTAGGAAAATATTGTCCGTTTTGCTTCTCTATTATGAAAGCATCATTGATGTCTTCGTCGATCATGTTAGTGCTTCAGAGTCATAATCCCGACGCTTAATTTCACTATTCATTGAAAATACAACCCACCAGGAAGAAGAGTTTCAACAAGAAATGCAAATGCTTTCGGTGGTGATGGGCGAGGTGCTTACTAGACAGTTTTTCAGGAGACTTTGCACCTTCAATCTCGAAATCTGCCATCCTCTCTAGTTCAGTTTCGATCAGGAAGCCCTTGCAACCCAACAATCACTAGATATACTTACTCTTCTCAAGCGGTCAACTGGTTTTAAAGGCAGAATCTTGCCTCTGTGGGTGATTCCCACCGACCTATCCATATATGCACAAGTGAATCAGAAAATATCTGTCTATTTCTAGCATTTCATTTAGATGGATGGAGATATTGACTAAGTACGCATTCCATTAACGTGTAGAAGTTGGGTAAGTGATTCACAGCTAGTCCATACTCCAAAGTTGGTAGTTGCAATTGTGGATTGTTGGGACATTTTTGCTTTTATGGAGAGAATGTTTATAGCAGGCTTAAAATCTTCTCTCTTTTCTTTTTTTTCTTTGGGGGTTTTACTTTCCCAAAATTGAGAGAATTAACTCCGCCAATGTAATTTCTTTAATTAAACTTACCATTATATTATCAGTAAAATATATTCTTACTAATGCATTCATGTCAACCAATTCACTGCAAAATTGCAATGTCTGAGTGGCTGATATTCTTCTTAAGCTAGCTTCCTTAAATAGAAATGCTATAAAGAAATGGTCATAAGATAAATATTCCGCAGCAGATGAGTTGATTTCCCTAAATATTGGAAAGTGAAACAAAAGAAAAAAAGAAATAAAATTCTAGCCTGTTCCAACCACTCTCTCCATAAAAAGTAAAAATTTCAAAATACAGGATTACGTAGAACCGGCCACTGAAAATGGCCGCTGGCTGGGATGTGAATCACCCATTTAAGGTAGCTCTACCCAAAAAGAAAACGTCATTTAATGAAAGTGTCCACTCTTTCAATGTCCTTTTCTCTCGTGTGGGGTGAACGCTTGAAAAGTACCGAAAAAGTTCTGAACATATTTCATTGATATTAATTCAATTTAATTGGACTAATTTAGTTTTGAAATTTTTTCATATTAATACAAATTCAGTCCATCCGGCTAATTTAAGCCGAAAATCGCTGATATGAACGTCGGCCGTCCTACATGACACAGTCGGCGCTAATGTGGACATTTTTTTATAAATTTTTTTTATATTTTTGTAATTATTTTATTTTTAATATTTTTTAGTATTTTTCCTTTCTCTTTTTCTTTTTGCCAATGGCCAATCGCATCAAGCACTTATTTTTTACCAAATTCCCTCTAATAAAAGTCATCAAATGGCATGCAATTAAATCTGCCAATAAAAATCCCTAGAAAGTAGAAATGGAGAAACAACTTCTATCCCCGAATGGTCTTTTCTCCCTCAAAATTATAATTACAGATCGTCGGGGGCTCATTTTAGTGTTTCGTTTTTAGATCATGCATTAAGAAGAAAGTTGACTTTGGTCCTAGGAGATGCCGAAACGAAAACATTCTTTAGCTACATGGTAACTCGCTCAACATTTCGTCAGTTTCTACATAGATTTATGCTTCCCCTAGGACGACCGATGGCCACGCCGCTCACGTCGAGCCTGACCCAGGTTTGGCTCGTGGGATAGAAAGAGTATTTGTCAATTCTAATGCTTAGCGTAAATGCATGAAGAGCTTGACTTAGTGGCAAAAGGGGCGTCGGGCACGGAGCATCTGGTGAATCCATTCACATGAGGCTGGAATTTTGGGAATAGTCGAAGGTTAGTGGGATGTAATCCTAATTTTGGGAATTTTTGCTTTTATGGAGAAGCGGTTCGAACATGCTATAATTTTTGCTTCTTCTTTTTGTTTTGTTTTACTTTTCCAAATCTCAGGGAATTTACACAGCTGTTATATTTTTCTTGGTAAAAGCCACTAAAAACCTTAAATTGTACTCACTGTGACGAATTTATTTTAAACTTTTTCTGTAATACCAAAAATTACAAACTTGTACATGTGCGGTACATTTACCCTCCATCAAAGTTCTGTCAATGAGAATCGTTCAAAATTCCCCTACATAGGCATTAGAAAGTAAACGGTATTGACATAATGTGGCTTAAGTGAAATTGACCGTTTAGTGGATAAGTAAAATCCATGGTTAATGCATTTATGTCAACCGAATCACTTTATTATCTCTTACACCATATAAGTCATTTAAAGATTGTCTACATTTTTTCAATACCTTATTTTTTTTCATGTGATGACACTTTATAAATCGACACGTTTACATGTCAAGTATACTTAATTGATGAGATTCTTATTAGATATATGATCAGCAAAATTTACTCATCTATAATTTTTACCAAGAAAGGCAACTAAAGCTGGTTTTGAGATCTCTCTTTAGCTTATTATATATCTTTGAATTCTTGATGTTTTATGCTAATTAAAGAAGGAGTCATTTATTCATAAATATCTTGTAAAATCTATTTAGCTATTAGTAATGTGCAAGTGAAACCCATGCGTAACAAATCTGTAGTTTGTGCGTAGTTTGCACGAAATTGGTGGGTGGTTTTCATCATGTATTTGCACGATATCATAGACTACTATGTCTATTTTAGACTTTCTATTTTAAAGTGAAGCAACACAATTATTTAAAATCGAATAACAATCACGCGTCATTTGGAAAAGTTAATTTACCTCTCACATGTACGCACTATAAATTGTTTATGACAATTCCAATCGCATAAGGTCATATAATTTATGTGCGTGCAATAGTCGGTCTTCTATAAACATATAATGTATAAGATCTGTGAATTTTTATTTTAAATGCGGAATGATTCCAATCATGATATAAGGAAGGACTATTAGGTAATAGGTATAGTCAGAGATTTGAAGTTGACACAAACTCAAAATCTGTAAGAAACGATCGAAAGTATGAGCGAAATGTCAGTCACAATCAGGATATCTGAGACACTCACCAAGACGGTGTCGTTTCGAGCAGCGAGCATGAGGATGTTCGGACAAGAAACGCAGCTTTGATCATGGGACTTAATCGTGTCGATGACTTCGAATCTCTTAAGAGAGTTTTGATTCAAGTCAAGCGGTCTTTTTTCAGTGAAAGTGGCCGTGTCGTCCGAAAGAAATGATGCATCATATCCCTGCACAAATGAAGGGAGATAATTACCAAAAAAGTCATAAGTCTTTTGATAATTTTCTTATATAGCTCTTCCGGTTAATTTTGGCCTGAAATCGCTGATGTAAATGCTAACTATCCTACATGGCACGGCAAATGCTAATGTAGACAATTTTTGCAATTGTTAAATAATTTTTTACCTTTTTTTCTTTCTTTTCCATTTTTTCTTTTCTTTTTTCTTTTTTTAACTGTGGGCCAACAACCCTCACCAACCACAAAAAAGGTGCATGAACCCTCGCCCAGATTCAACAACGGCTACAACGCCCTCAATAGATCTGGGCTAGGTGTGGCGCCTCGGCTACCCTCGCCTGTGGTAGGCGACCTTCACTAGGCCCTGCAGAGGAAAATAAGAAATAAAGAAAAAAGAAAGAAAAGAAAAGGAAAAAGAAAGAAAGAAAAAAATTCAAAAATTTAAAGGAATTGTAGAAATTGTCCACGTTAGTGTTGGCCATGCCACGTAGGATCGCCGGCATTCACGTGGGTGATTTTCCAGCCAAAATTAGCCGAAATGATTACATTGGTAAATCGTCAACAATTTCGAATTAAATTGGATAAATTGAAAAATTTAGAACTGAATTGACTATTTGTACAATAAGTTTAGAACTTTTCTGGTAATTTTTCCCAGACGAAGAGGGCCGAGATACATAAGGTCACAGTATGCTCTATATGGCTTGATTAAAAGTTCCATCTTTTTTTCATCTTCTATTAGTGATGGATTGAGTACACGTGGAAGAAGCAACTCTACTCTCGCATCTGACTGTGATAATATAGTTGTTATATAGTATTATATAGTAGCAATAACCATTCACATTTATGGAAAATGTCTTTTATCTGAAGCATCTTTTCTAGAGCTTAGAAACACGTCTAGCTTTTCTTTGTTCCTTATCTGTGATTATCATCTAGTAGAATAAGTTTAGAAATTGGCTTTTGAACTTGAATTAAAGTATAAAGAAAAGATATCTTATTGTGTGCTTTTTTTTCTAATCCAAGATCCAAGTCAATCTCATGCATATTTAAAAAAAATGGGAGATAAATCAAATTTATTGTGTGGCCTGAAAATCAAGCTACACGGATCTCACAATTATTACTCCGTTTGTTTACATTTAAGTGACTACAAAAAGTATTTCTTTTGACTCTTTTGTCAAAATTTAAAATATTGCTCAAAGTTCAGAAAATCATGAAAATAAACATGTATAAATTTACGTATGAATATTTGTATACCGTGAAAGTTTTAGAGTATTTTCGAGCGGTCAACGGCGGTGGCTTCCCACTACCGACGGCCACGTGTTGCCTTTGCATGAGTGGCAACTTGGAACCGAACACCGCTCAAATTTTACCGACGTCTCTCCGCGCTACTGAGATCACGACGAGCAAAGGGTTCAGATCTTCAGTCGCCAACACTTCTCAAAGAGTCCGATAACAATAGAGGAAACTCATGGCGACCAACGCAGAAGCAGACTGTTCGCAAGATGCTTTCGACGCGGCGCCAACATCGCTGGCGATGACGAAGGAGGGGGATCAAGGAGCTGCGGGAGAAAGCGACTGACCTGGCGGCGACCCACGGCCCCTGCGCCGCCGCCATGATCTGGACGAGGAAAGAGAAGGCGGCGGGGGCCAGATCGTTGCTGCAGATGACGACGATGGTTCCGGAGACGTGGCAGACAAGTGCCCCGGAGTCACCCAGCAAGCGGACTATTTCAAGTGCGTGTGCGTCCCAAGACCCAGTGAATCTTTCCTTAGTAGTGTGCACGTATAGACGGTATGGAATATGCTCGTGATGTTATTATCTATAGTAACGACATCTTCCATCAAGTTCTTTTTAACTAGTAGTTAGTGCAAGCGAGCCAAACTCGTTTTTATAATACACTTGATAAGGTTTTTCTTTAACACTCAATGCCATGTAGTCACAGACAAAAATGTAAGATTAACTCTCGACATATCAATTACCTAATATAGCTCTTTTTTAAAAATTTTATAGAATCACTATCAACTATTCTAAAAGCTTAAACTGTTAAATGAAGCTTAGTACTAAGTATGAAAATATTTAATTGGGGAGACAAATAGGGGCCTAAAAGATTCAAACTCAGGACCTCCTGCTCTGATACCATGAAAGATTTTATGAGACCACTGCTAACTGTTCTAAAAATTTAAGCTGTTAGATGAAGGCGTGATTTATTGTTTAAATATTCCAACACTTTTCAATATGACTTGAGAGGGATTTCTGTGATCATGCTATGACAATTAAAGAAGACAAAGTTTCAATATTTGATCACTCTGTTGACATATGAATACTAGATCAATTGCTTTTCCGATGTCCGGCAATCTCGTACCGTCATGTTCATGGCACGACTTCCTCTTCCTCAAACAAAAATGGGAAAAGAAAAAAAAGCTTATGGCACAACTAAACATGCACCCTCCTCTCTTTTTTTAAGATTTAGTGAAAACAAATGAAGATAAAATGTTGGCTCACATGTTGGGATCATGGATTTATCCTTCTTCAATTTAATCAATTTTTTCATTCTTTAGAATAAGATCAGGAATTGATGGTAGCTTAGAGAAGTGCACACGCCCATAAATTGGTCAAGATTCTGCCATTAAATAAGGAAAGTTTGACATATCATTCTGGTTTATATCATAGTTAATCAATGATTTTGTAATGCTCCTACCTGGGAGGATTTTAATTGGAGGACTAAAGTTATCTTCGATTATATCATACCGACAGATCACTTTTGAGACGAAAAAGATCGCGAAACATACGATTATCCCATTTTACAATTATCCATTGTTTCTTTTAAGACTGATTTGTTTTTGCTATTGTAAGAGAACCTTCAGAGATGGTGCAAGCTTTAGATTTATACTATCGAAGAAATCTTTGCGCCTGCTCCATCCGTTGATTTTAACAAAACCCGTGCAACGCACGCGATAATAAAGCTAGTGTATTGGCAAAGATCGCATTCGATATCCCTTAAACGTTAGAGGTGTTTCAAGGGTCGATCGGCTCACTAAGCTGGTGAACAACAATTGCCATCTTCAGTTGTTCTTGGGAAAATTACCAAAAAAGTCTTAAACCTTTTGCAATTGTGTCAATTCAATCCTAAACCTTTTTTTTTTTGCCATTTCAGTCCTAAACCTTTTGCAACTGTGCCAATTTAGTCCATCCGGCCACTTTTGGCAGGCTGGCGCTGACGTGGACGCCGGCCGGCTGACATGACATTATTTTAATATTTTTTTTCTTTTTTTTTTTCTTTCCTTCTTCCCCCCTAGCCGGTCCGGCCAGGGGGAGGCTCGCCGGTGAGGTGACCTCCCCCGGCCATGGCGAGGTCGAGCTCGCCCGGCGACGGCGAGGCCTCGCCCAGACCTGGCGAGACCTCGCCGTCGCCGGGCAAGATCGAGCTCACCCAGCGACAGCGAGGTCTCGCCAAATCTGGGCGAGGCCTCGCCGTCACCGGGCGAGCTTGACCTCGCCCATGGCCGGCGAGGTCACCTCGTCGGCGATCCTCCCCTGGCCGATCCAGGCGGGGGGAAGAAAGAAAGAAAAAAAAAAGGAAAAATAATGCCACGTCAGCCGGCCGACGTCCACGTCAGCGCCGGCCGGCCAAAAGTGACCTGATTGACTGAATTGACATAATTACAAAAGATTTAGGACTGAAATGGTAAAAAAAAAAAATTTAGGACTGAATTGACACAATTGCAAAAAATTTAGGACCTTTTTGATAATTTTCCTGTTGTTCTTCACCGAAGTCCTCCTAGGATAAGATTTTCGAGCTTCGATTTTGGTCACACCTGTACGCTAGTCAGATCCAATCAAATGATGTGCCAACGTCATCGAGCAGTTGCTCACTATTTGGACGAATGATGGGATGGATCGCTGAATGACACAAATCATTTTTGGCGTTTGGTCAGCTTCACTGTCTCTCCCCTATTCTACTTGGGGAAGCAATTCGTCGACCGTGTCTGGCGTGGCACTTGCACCAATAGGTCCAATACTTTTGCTTTGGTATGTCCCTGCAGTACTCGTTTTATATCATTTCTTGGAATATATATATATATATATATGTGGAAATATATATCAAGTGTCTCAGAGAGAGAGAGAGAGAGACCAAGAGAGAGAGAGAGATGGGTGTTGAGAATAGAGAGCAAGAAGGAGAGCAGGGACTTCCTCTCTTTGAGACCAAGAAACTAGGCGGAACAAGAATTGGTTACAAGGTGTTTGCTGCTGCGATCTTCGGGTGCATATGGTGGATATGGGTGTACCGGTCCGTGCACTTGCCGAGGCCGGGAGAGAAGGGAAGATGGGCTTGGGCAGGGATGTTCCTCGCGGAGGTACTGTTCGGGCTTTACTGGGTGGTCACTCAGTCCGTCCGTTGGAACGCCGGGTACCGATATCCGTTCAAGGAAAGGCTCTCACAGAGGTTGTTTCCCTTCTCTTGCTCGCACTAGCAACCTCCATCGATGCTTATAAAATGATTCGACAATTGATATTTCAAGGGTCATAGTTTTCATGGTTACGGTTTCGGAGTTGTCGGTCGAATTTTTTTCCTTCCAAATCCAAATATCGATGCATAAAATTTAAGGTATTTGAACCATATGCATGTTATGAGTATTACTCTATGTTAAATAAGTTCTTTCCCATATAGAAGTTAAGTACCCTTGGACCAAGGTGTATATTTTGCATGAGATCAAGGTAAAAATTCCGAGCCTGAGCTAGACTTATTTCCGGCATGGATAGAACAATAATGGACTTTTTGGGCTTTAAGCTTACCAAATTTTCAAGCTTAAAACGCTCGATCATGGAAGCTCAACCGATGCGAACTATTTCAAGTATTTGAAATTTGACTTTTTCCATCAATCTTTTTCTCCATTTTCATTGGGAGGATATTCCTTTCGAATCAGTCCTTTCATTGATGAATACTCACATTGACACATCCATATCTATTTCTTTTACTAATTTTCCCTTCATCCCGTGTTGACGGAAACGTCTTCGGATCACCCTTTTGACCGATGAGTTACAAAGATAAACATTTCTAACAATTAATTTTACATGTACCAATTAGAGACATGGTTGTAAAAAATTCTTTTAATTAGAGAAGGAGGAAAACATAACATTTTCTTTTAGTTGAGTTTACAAGTATCACATACTTGTAACTTGTAATTTTACCAATTAAATACATTATTGGAGGAAATTTTTTCGAGTCAATAGTGGAGGAATTACTTTATTGAAATTTTTCTTCAACCGAGCGTGGGTAAACAAACCTTTTTTACTTAATTGGCTGCTCGGTTCGAAATTTTTAAGAACGATATGTATTAAAAAATACTTGCAGACAACCTTGACTTTTTTGCAGACAATCTTGACTTTGAATACTCCTAAAGTCGCGATAAGACAGGGCAAGATCTTCTCCGTTTCTTTGGCAAAGATACGGTCCTGTCGTTTTGTACGCGTAGTAAAAGGTTAACGAATATTGCGATCAGGCAGTGGATGAGGTTGACCTGAACAGAATCCAATGTCTGATTCCCATGTGGAGTCATACTGTCGGTAGGCCAACGAGATACTTTCTTGCTTTTTCAGTTTATATTGATTGGGATAGTATTTTAGTAGTCTCATTGGGGATAAGGGAGCAAATTTGCATTTTTAAAGATGGAGGAACATAGTTGGTAAATAGTAAACTGGTGGAAACTCTGATGTGTTTTTGGTGTTTTCTCTTTTTATAAATGATTATAACAAAGAAAATCAATCAGAAAGTTATAATAATCGAGATTTGTGTCTTCTTGTGAGATCGATTATGAGGCTCTGCTGGTCAAGATGAAGGTGCTAATAATTCATGTAAAGGTAATGTCCCATACTTTGTAGATACAAAAATGATCTACCAGCCGTGGACGTCTTTGTGTGCACGGCCGACCCGGAAGCCGAGCCACCGGCAATGGTGGTTAGCACCGTCCTCTCGGCCATGTCCTTCAATTATCCACCGGAGAAGCTGAGCGTCTATCTCTCGGACGATGGAGGGTCGGAACTGACATATTACGCGCTCCTAGAGGCCTCGAAATTCTCCAAGCGTTGGATCCCTTTCTGCAAGAAATTTAAGGTCGAACCGAGGTCTCCCGGGGCCTATTTCGCCCGCCATTCTGATGCGGGACGAGAAGTCGCGGACGGAGAAGAATGGTTCGCTATGAGGGTAAGTTTCTAGTCTCTCTAGTCACGGGTGCTCACGAGCACAAAATCTTAACGCATTATTATTTCACCATAAAACTCCATCTCATCTTTTTGTTTCACAAATATAAAGATGCTGTATGAAGATATGAAGCATCGGATTGAAGAAGCCACGGAAAGGGGCAGCGTTCCAATGAAATTGAAGGAGCAACATGAAGGTTTCTCGGAATGGAATGATCCAACCGTGACAAAGTGGGATCACCAATCAATTGTGAAGGTAAAGCAATATGTAAATTAATTAATTAACTAACTAACTAAGTTCATAAAAAAAATACTTGACATTATTTAAATTTCCAATATTTTTATCAGGTCATAATCGATGGGAGAGAAGGGGATGCTGTGGATGATGATGAATGTAGGCTACCCACATTGGTGTACTTGGCACGAGAGAAGAGACCTCAATGCCCTCACAATTTCAAGGCTGGCTCTATGAATGCTCTGGTAGTTCCTATCCTTTAGTCTGATAATAACAGTTTGTTCAAGGAAAAGAAAGAAATAATCACAGATAAGTTTATTTCCTCGTCGAATCCGACATACGTAACCAAATGTGATGTGTGCGGTTTACTGAAATGAGTCGAAACAATGTCAACATTGCCGGTGTCCGTTCGCTCAATTAACATAGTGTCGCAGGTCTTCAAACTTTTCGATCAACATATTTTGCCTTAACAATAGTCTTTTCTAGTATCTGGTGATTAGTTTAATATCGCATTGGTGCCCAAGTATATCTAGTTTGTGATTTTTATGCGCAGATTAGAGTGTCATCCGTAATAAGCAATGCGCCCATAATCCTCAATCTAGACTGCGACATGTACTCCAACGATTCAGATTCAGTACGAGATGCACTGTGCTTCTTCATGGATGAAGAGAGAGGCCACCAGATAGGTTTCGTGCAATATCCTCAAAACTTCGACAACATTACAAGAAACGACATCTACTTCAACTCGCCTAGGGTTGTCAATGAGGTAAAAGTCATCATCGATTCTTTCTCCTACGCTGATTCAACCTAGTTTGACCATGTGCCATCAAGATTGAAATGAGTTATAAGTTCAACTCGGTCGTCGTCGTGGTAGATAAAACCTAGGGCTACCAAAGTGAGTAATGCTTTTTTACCGTATGAAAGTATTGCTGAAGTAACACGTCTAATGTTTTGGGTGTTGGAACGTGAAGATTGAGCTAAGAGAAATAGGTGGATATGGAGCTGCTTTGTACTGCGGGACTGGTTGCTTTCACAGAAGAGACAGCCTTTGTGGGAGAAGATACTCGCGAGGCCGTAAACCGGAATGGAGCTGTGAAGCTAGGAGGGATGAACCTGTAGAGCAGCTTGAGCAAGGCTCGAAACTTGTTGCTGACTGCTCTTATGAGAAGGGCAGTCAATGGGGGAAGGAGGTCTCTCTCTCTCTCTCTCTCTCTCTCTCTCTCTCTCTCTCTCTCTCTCTCTCTCTCTCTCTCTGATGTTTCGTGTTCTTGAACATGCTTGCTTACACGTGATGTTGAATGCTTTGCAGACGGGAGTGTTGTACGGGATTTCGGTGGAAGATATAGCGACCGGGCTGAAAATTCAGTGCCAGGGATGGAAGTCCGTCTACTACAACCCAAAGCGAGAGGCTTTCTTGGGCGTGGCTCCCAACACGCTCGACCTCTCGCTCATCCAATTCGAGAGATGGTCGGAGGGCATGTTCCAGATCTTCATCTCCAAGTATTGCCCCCTCACTTTCGGACGTGGCAACATCCCATTCGGAGCTCAGTTGGGATACTCCATCTATCTCCTGTGGGCGCCTCTCTCCCTCCCCACGCTCTTCTACGTCGCCGTCCCTCCCATCTGCTTGCTTCGCGGCATCTCCTTGTTTCCTCACGTGATTCTCTCATCTCCCCTTTGTGTGTTGTTCCATCAATGGCGTCCGCTGCGATCTTAACTCGTGCAGCACCAGACGCGTCTTATTCTTTTTTTCTTTTTGGGGTACAGGTCGTGAGCCCGTGGTTTGTGCCGTTTGCGTGCGTGTTCCTAGCCAGGAACGCTTATAGCCTTGTCGAGGCCATGAGCTGCGGAGCCGCGCCCAAAGCGTGGTGGAACTCCCAGCGGATGGTCCTAATCCGAAGGACGACCCCGTTCTTCTTCGCCTTCATCGACGCCGTCCTCAACAGGCTCGGCCTGTCCCAGATCGCCTTCAACCTCACGGCGAAGGTGGCAACGGACGACGCGGTGTCGAGGTACGAGAAGGAAATCATGGACTTCAGCGGAAGCTCCATGATGTTCGTCTCCATAGCAACGTTGGCCTTGCTAAATCTCTTTTGTTTGGTTGGTGGATCGATGAAATTTGGCATGGACTCGAAGTTGTGGGGGCAAATGGCTCTCGGTGGGCTTGTGGTCTTGCTCAATTTACCCGTTTACCATGCGCTTTTCATCAGGAGCGACAAAGGTTGCTTTTTAGCCTCGGTTGTGTTCAAGTCTGTTCTTGTGGCTTCAGTGGCTTGTCTAATTGCAAATTTGATAGGCTGATAAACAAAGAGTTCGAGATTGATATTTGAGATTACTTGCGATATAGTTGTAATTAAAATTCTTTTGGTGCACATTTACTTATATTTGCGTTTTACTATTTCACTTAATTTCTTTGATACTATAGTTGTGATTTGTCGATAGTCTTGCAAGTTAGCAGGGATGAGCACCGGTTTGCATACGAACCAAGTAGGTTCGGGGTGTTCGGTGAGAGGGTTAGAACCACCAATTCTAAACCGAATGAATAAACCGGTTCTATTTCTTGTCTTACACAGGCGCGCGCATGTATATAAAACTCGGGAAAATTGTCCAAACAATTCATAATATTTTATTTTTTTTTCAAATTTTGTATTAATTTTTTTTCTTTTTCCTCCCTTCTTCCTCTGCCGGTCGATAGGCTTGGGCAAGGCAACCACCAACGGGGGTCGCCCTCGCCGGCCTTAAGCGAGGTCACCCTCATCGGGATCTGGGAAGGGGCAACCTCGCCGAAGTCCAACGACCCACCTCACCCGAATCTCACAAGGAGGCCCTCGCTAGCCTCGCATAAGGCCATCCCCAAGCCCAACGACCGGCGGAGAAAGAAGGGAGGAAGAAGAAAACACAGGAAACATATAAAAAAATTCCATAAAATATTAAAATATTATAAAAAATTGTACATGTCAATGTTGGTTGTGGCATGTAGAACGTTCGGTGTTCACGTCTTTAGCCAAAATTGAACGAATAGACTCAATTGGCAAAACATAAAAAAGGTTTAAGATTCAATTGGTAAAATTAAATAATTTAAAACTGAATTAGTAAAAGTACAATAATTTTAGGACTTTTTAGATAATTTTCCCATTCAAACTCAAGTCTTCCACTTAGCTCGAGAATAATTTAATCATTTTTTTTGTCGAAACAGTTTAACCACTTTACTATGTGAAATTAACATATAAAGTGTTTCCACAACTACTAAATATGTCTTGAGTTTAAGTTAGTGAAATAAAATCGGTCCAAAGTCTATTTCTACTTGTTATCAATTTTTCGGTTTTTTCATATGGATGAAAATAGAAATATCATGATTGCCACGTGAAAGAGATCTTATCTCTTACCAAACGGGAGAGAAGAAGATAAGAAGAGTTTCCTTCGGAAAAGATAAGGATGAGAATAGAAATATCATGATGGCCACGTGAAAGAGATCTTATCTCTTACGAAACGGGAGAGAAGAAGATAAGATGAGTTTCCTTCGGAAAATAAGAGAAAAGAGACTGCAATGATGGAGGCATGGGGGTCGATGTGAACCTCATGTCCTTTCTATTGAATGCTGCACAAAAGGAACAAAGAGAATAATAAAATAGACAAACGAGAGTTTAGGGTCGAAAAATCTCAATTCTCAATTTATTCCCGATTTCACTCTAGGATAGAAGGTTTTGTTTTGGCAAAAGGATGTGAAGTTGACCTTACTCAACAATCAACATAACATGGTGTTGCCGCCGATGCTCTTTCTTTCTCTAGCACGCGCGGGTTTAACAGGTGCACAGTGAATAGAAGACGAAACAAAGTCATGGACATGAAAACCAGCTTGGAATCGGCCCGTTCAATTCCGGGTCGGTTCCTTATATATACATCTTGATTCCCAATTATAAGAATTTGAAATTGGCCCTGACTAGATAGGTTCCCGATTTCATATCGAGAATCCATTCATCTCGATACTTAATCACCCCGTAAGTCCAACTAATCAAGTAATATCGTTACGAACTTGAGATTTACAATTATTTTCTGGGGACATGATCTCCTGATCTAGTATCTCATAATCCATTTGTCCTTTTTAAATTCAGCCGAATAAATTCGTGAGATAATTGAGAATCTATCGCTTTCGATGACTAATAATTAAGAGGGAAAATTCTAAATAAGGACCTGAAGTGCCTTCATTTTCTCAAATAAGGTTCTGAAGTGGCAATGAGAGTTTCAAATAAGGGCCTGTCTTTGCCGGTCATCGGATGGCAAAATATTCCGACGAGGTCAAGGGCATTTCGTCCAAAAATAATTTTAATTTTTTTCTTTTTTCCTTTTCTTTCTTTTTGCCTTTCTTTTCTTTTTTCCTTTTCTGATCTTCTCTTTGTTTTTCCGGTGGCCGGTGGCTAGGCTGGCCACTGGCGAAGCTCGGGAAGGGCCAGGCAAGGGTCACCCACGCCCGATCTGGCGAGGGCCACCCTCGTCGGCAACAAGTGAGGGACGGCGAGGCCACTCTCTCTGGCCATGGGCGAGGCCGGCCCTCGCCAGATCTGGGCAAGGCCAACCTCGCCTAGGCAAGGGTCTCACCGGCCACTCGTCGCCCAGGCGAGGCTGGCTCTCACATGTGGCTTTCGAGGGCGGCCTCGCCCAGGGCGAGGGTCACCTCGCCTGCAGCCGGCGAGGCGACCCTCGCCTATTGCTGGCGAGGGTGGCCCTCGCCCAGATTTGGCGAGGGGTGGCTCGTCCATGGTCAGCGACGACGGCCTCGCCAGATTGGGCGAAGGTGGCCCTCGCCCAGCCCTTCCTGGGCTTCGCCAGTGGCCAGCCGGCCGGCCACCTGTGAAGAACAAAGAGAAACCAGAAAAAGAAAAAAGAAGAAAGAAAAAAGGAAAAAAAAGAAAAGAAATGAAAAGAATTCTAAAAAAGTTAAAAGAATAAATGCCCCTACCATTCAGAAAGTTAGGCCTTCATTTGAAACAAAAATAGTCACTTCATGCCCTTATTTGACACAAAATCTACTTCGGGTCCTTATTTGAAAAAATGAAGACACTTCAGGTCCTTATTTGACAGAAAGTTCACTCCATGCCCTTATTTGAGAAAATGATGACATTTCATACCCTTATTTGGAATTTTTCCTAATTAAAATGATGATATCGGACGACTATGTCTCGCGGCCAATGGCTTAAAAAGTGAAGCAGAAAAATCAACCATTGCATTATATACTAATATGCAGGATTAAGCCTGAGCTAATCCCCACACCTTGAGGTCACGATGACGTGAGCCAGTGTCAGCGTGTCACCCCATACATCAAGTTGGTTCAAACGGGACTCTCATGTATAATTCCTTAGTTTGACCAAATTGGAAGCCCTCATACATTTTCTTCAACATCAAAGATTGCTCATTTTTCAATCTCCGTAGATTAAATCGACTCGATCGGAATCATAATTTCATGAGAAAAATAAGAATAATTAGCTTTATAACTCAATCAAAACTTATCCATTTCACAAGTGTCAGGGACAGATTCTCTTAAACTAGCTCACGATTATCTCATTAATTCTTTAAGATTTATTCTTAGATAAACACTTAAAAAAACGATGAGACTTAAAACATTTATAGGAAAAATGAAATGACGTATTTATCCATTAAATTTTGAAATTTAAGGAATAATTGAGTTAGACATGAAACAAACCAATAAGGTGGTTGGTGTAGTGGTAAAGGGCTCAAATGATTTTCGTGAGGTCACCAATTCGTTTTACATCTTTGGATCGAAAGTATATGTATGACTCAAACGGAAAGTTCCATAACAAACAAAGTCACGTGTTCGATTCAAATCTTTATATCAGAATTAATGCAGATGTTTATGGCTCAAACAGAAAGTTTTGTAGTGAACGAGGTCGCAAGTTCGATTCGCATCTTTGGATCGGAAACAACGTGGATATCTACAACTCGAACCGAAAGTTCCATTGAGAGTCCGAGATCTCTTGATGATGACGTTAAGAGGAGATCGCTAACACCATTGGCCTCTCTCCGTCTCAAAAGAAAGAAAGGGTAAGAAATGGCACATATTTATTTGTTAAGATTCGCCGCATAATCAAAAAGAAATAGAGAGTAAAAAACGAGAAAGAGAATCGAGACACAAGGTTTTTATCTTGGTTCACCCTTAAACTAGGGCTACATCTAGCAGAGGATTCCATTACAATTAGCAACTTGCACCTCTCTGTTACATCTCTCAATTACAAGAGAAATGGACTATATATAGGCAATAGTTTGATTCAAAATAGGAAACCCCTTTCTAGGAAACCTATTCTAATTTGAAAACCTATTCCAATTAGGAAACCGTTCAATTAGGAAACATATTCAAAATAGGAAACATAATTGAATTAGGAAACTTTCATTTTCCAGGCTCAAACTATAAAAGCCCTCTTGCAGCTTGAGATTGCCGCTCCCGCGACCCTTGCCCACTCATCGGGAAGTGGGACTCCCGTGCCTTCCTGTCAATGGGGAGTATAAACCACACCTCAACATTCTCCCTCTTAGTGAATACTTCACATGCTTCTTCAGACCCAACGCAGTTGTACACCATTTAAATTTTTCTGCACTCACTGCCTTGGTCAAAAAATTTGCACTATTTACTTATGTGTCAATTTTCTCCAACACTACAACCTTCTGTTCCACTTTCTCTCGGATGAAATGATATTGTATGCTGATATGCTTTGTTCTAGCATGAAATACAGGATTCTTAACCAAGAATAGAGCACTCTGGTTATCACACCCAATATTTACTCCTTCTTGTGTAAAACCAAGTTCTTTACACAATCTGCGCATCCATATTACTTCCTTAGCAGAATGAGTAAGGCCATGTATGTAGTAGATAAAGCAACCGTGCTTTGCCTCTTGCTCATCCAACTCATAGCTCCACCGAATAGAGAAATAACATATCCGCTGGTTGACCTTCTGCTTTCAATGTCATATCCCCAATCAGCATCCACGAAACATTTCAATTCTAACACTTGCTGTCCCTTTGAGTTTTTCATGCCTTCATAACATAGCTCAAGGTTAAATGTACCGCGAAGATAACGAAGCACGTGGTTTGCTGCCATCCAATGATCTTTGCCCAGATTGGACATATGTCTGCTCAATACTCTCACTGCTTGAGCAATATCAGGACGAGTACATATCATGGCATACATCAAGCTCCCAACAACGCTTGCATATGGGACTATTGCCATCACTTCGGCTTCCTCTTCAATCTTAAGACACTGGAGCACAGATAACTTGGAACTTGTGGACATGGGGGTCTTCACGGGTTTACAGTCAGCCATGTTGAATTTTTTAAACACACTTTCAACATATTTCTTCTGACTTAGCCACAACTTCCCATTCTCACGCTCTCTTTTAATCTGCATGCCCAAG